AGAACAGCAGAGAGGATCATGGGGGCTCCTCTTCCCTCCATTAAAGACATTTCTTGACATCTCCGTGACATCATCAATGACCCCTCACCCCCCCACCATGGACTGTTCTCCCTGCTGCCCTCTGGGGAGAGGCTTCACAGCATTCAATGCAGGACCAGCAGGTTCTGCAGCAGCTTCTTCCCCACCGCCATCACACTGATGAATGTTGTTTAAAATGGGTTATTTTATTTATTTAAAAAAAATAATAATGTTAAACTGTAAATACACAGTCATATATTTATATTACTAGTTTTAATGTATTTTATTCATGTTTTTCAAGGCTGCATTAAAAAAATGAAATTGTCTAGAGCTGTTTTAAATGAAATTTCTTTTTGTTCACATTCGTGTTTACTAAATGACAAAATAAATCTGTCTAAGTCTAAGACTGCGCTCTGCTATTAACAAGGTGACAAAACATTTCTCCGCTTATTTTTATTCTTTTATTAAGATCTGAGGGCAGTGGAGGACAAAGGGGACATCTTGAAATGACTTTCCTTGAGATTTCAGACAAATAAAACAGTTATTCTGCTTGTAGAAAGTAATGGTTGTTGTTGACACAAAGTTAAAAGTAGTGTAGCCTAATATGGCTAACTGACCAAGCTAAAAGATGCTAACCTGTTAGCTATATTTACCTTATGTTGTGCATTAAAGGCATCTCAAGGCTAAATGTTGAACACAGTGTATGATATAAACAAAAATATCAGGACGTGGGTGTTCTTCTCCTCCAGGTGTTCCAGGCTCCAGGGAGTTTTTCCTCTCCACTGTCGCTACAAGGAACGGGTGGAATGTTGGGGAGACTGAAGACGATGTGTTATTTAACTCTTAAAAAAAGTTTTAACCCTTTAAAAAATGGTTTCTGATTGCTGGAAGTTCTTCCTGTTAAAAGGGAGTTTTTCCTCTCCACTGTCTCCATGAATTCTCAGTGAGGGATTGCTGCAGAGTCAACAACACAATGCAGGCTAATACTATATCATTTTGATCAAAACTATTTGTGCTTTATACGTGTGAGTTTGAAGTTGCAGAGAGAATTACATTATAATTTTTGTAACATTTTTTTTAACATTTTTTTAACTGTTCAAAGTTTAATTACAGGTACATAAATTGTGTTCAGTGTATTCCACACTGAAAGTCTCTACATGGTCCAGAACTATTGTTGCAAAACTATTTGTGCATTGAAACTTTGATGTTTTAACTGTAGATGAGATGCACAATTATTATTTTTTTTTTTTATCAAATGGATGAAACTGAACGTAGGAGATGCATGAAGTACAAATTACAGGATACAATTTGTTTTTATTTTTAGCTTTTTATTTTTTTTATTTTTACTGTCATTACACTGTACAGATTCCCTTCACGTTTTCCGGACGCGCGACGCGCATGAATAAAACTCCGCCCCCTCCCCTCTTCAATAGGAGCCGCAGTAAGGTTGCTCCGTGGGGACACGCGCGTGGACACCTCACCGAATCTGTCACGCTCCACAGGTAAGAGGAAGGATTCATATCCGTTTGTTTTGGTCTTTAAACGCGTCTAAAAAACTTCAAACCTGTGAGAAGGATAAAAAAAACAGCTCTTTATTTCTAGCATTCTGGGTTTTTAACATTTTTTTGCGTGTTTTTCGTTGTTATTTTTCTTTTTTCCGTTTTATCTTAAATGGTTTAAGGTTTTAGAAACTGATTTTTTTTTTTACATATTTACATACATCACAAAATAATTAAAATCTACTTAATTATTATATTAAGTAACTTATAAAATCATTAGTTTCATGTCCTTCCCTGCTAAAATGAACCAATTGTGTTAAAATAACCAGATAAAATTAAGTAGATTTAAAAAATAAAAAAATAAATGTTTCACTTTTTAAATATGGAGACTGTGGAAATATTTCTATATTTTAACAAAATTCCAGTTATAACATGTACTTTAAACATGAACTAAAGGTCAGCATCATTTTAAGATATTATTTTAAATATTGAGGTGTAAATTTGCAGCCTTTGGAGGAACAAATTGCAGAAGTTTGGAGTCATTAGGTGTTAATCTGCTGCAGGAATGAATGGAAGGATTAGTTCTCCAGCTATTTATCTCTGTAATCCTGTCCCTTTCTGAATGTGGTCTAACTAAAAGGTACAGATGAGCTTTACTTAAAGGAGCTGACCTGATTGAAGCTGCTTATATAAACAGGAAGTAGGTGACTTCTAGAACGGTTTCAATAATTCCACTGAACACTGGCCTGAAATCTTCAACCTCAGATATATTAAAGATTTCCAGTGCTTGACTCTTTTTTTAATCATCTATTGTCTGCTGTCTGGCTGAGGTGGGATTGTGGTAGCAGGTTATTATACCTTTATTTTTACAGGGAGGTCATTAAGAACAAGTTTTTATTTACAATGGCGGCCTGACGAGTGGAGTAACCACTTAGGAAAAGGGAAGAAGGGCTAAAATGAGTACAATACGTTAGTAATATGTACTTAAAATAAAAATGAAAAGACGACAGGCAACCCCAACATGACTGTCTGTGAACAAAGATGATCTTATTGTTTTGAAGGATGAAACTGGAATGAGTTTATCCAGTAGTGCTTCTGGTCGTGCTTCTTCAAAAGTAGTGTTGGTTTTGGAAATAACTTATTGCAGATGAAGTGAGGACCGGGTGTTGTAAGTGACAGGCTTTGGCTGGTCCTGGAGGGAAACTGGGACGTCCATCTGCCTTGGTTTGTCCTCTTAATCTGGGGAACATCAGCGTTCTGTTTGTGTCCAGAGGCTGCATCCTCCAAGGACGCGGTCTACCTGGACTGGGTCCTTGGAGGTCTGTGAAAATAAGGAGTTAGGAAGAGTTTTGGCTGTGGATTCAAAAAGCCTTCTCCGGCTTTCACCTACAATATGCTCTGTCGCCTAGCAACCGTGATAGTTCACACACAAGATACTGCACTTCTCATGACCGATCTGGGTACTAATAACATTTCTGAGGAGCTTCAGCAGCAGTACCGTCGTCTCAGATATCAGATTTATAGTCCCCACACTGCAGAGATATTAGAATCTGAGTCTAAATGTCAGTCAAACCTATTTACATAGGGACCGATAAAACCTTTCAATAAAGCAAACATTACCCGCCACATATCATAACCATTTAAAACCACAGTTTTCATTCATTTCAGACGGAACTATTCACATACTTGGATTATATTAAACTGAACTTCCAATATTCACCACTGTTTGGCGCCATTTCCCTTTTTCCTCTGATAACTGAGCAGCCGGTGTAGGTACCAGGTCTGCTGGGGTCCTGCTTCCTGTCAGTGACGTTACCCTACATGATTGGCTGAAAGATGCCACATGATGTAAAACACTGTGGTTGCCCAGACAACCATCATAACATCACGCAGCGTCTGTGTGCCGAGTCGGGGGCATGTGTAGCGTTAGCATGTCTAATGGCCGATGAAGTTTAACTGATCGATAACAGAACTGAAAAGTAGATAACAGGTTAGCCTCTTTTAGCTCGGTCAGTTAGCCATATTAAGCTACACTGCTTTTACATTTTACAATAACTAAAGTTCCATTTGTCCTCCTCTGTCCTCAGATCTTAATAAATAGATGGATTTTTAGCTCCAACTTTCAAAACAAATATAATTAAATGCGAAATGTCAGTGTTTATATTAGTTGCTGACTGTGTTAATGGTCACATTGTCAGTAGAAAAAGGTATTTTTGATATCCTAACATTTAACAGAAGGTTTTCTAGATGTTTTTTAAGAATATTTTTGGTTACAGGAGTCTACGGCAACGTCAGAGCCAAGATGGGGCGAAAAGAGATCATCTGCAGCTGGAAGAAAAATGTCAACAACATCAAGGATGTGTTTGATTTCAAAGGAAAAATGGGATCGTAAGTACTCAGCATTTTAGATTAGAAACAATCATTTCTTGTCCAAACCAAGAAAACGTTGCACAGTGATTCAAAATATTAAAGCGACCAAACAAAGAAGCCTTCCCCTGCATAGCCATGGGGGTTGAGATCAACCCCCATGGCTGCCAGGTCAGGTATAAAATCTGATTAAATTAACTCTTTTGATTTTAGTAAATGGCTGCAATGAAACAAAGCGTGAAAAATCCAAAGGGGTCTGAATACTTTCTAACTGTAGATCAGGATAACCTGAGCCACTCTAACTAGAAGCTTTATCAAAAAGGAAAGTTTTAAGCCTAGCCTTAAAAGTAGACAGGGTGTCTGCCTCNCCATTCTACTTTTAGAAATTCTAGGAACCACTAGTAAACCTGCAGATTGAGAGCGAAGTGCTCTGTTAGGAACATAAGGAACAATCAGATCTGTGTAGCGTTTTAAAATTGAGATGCAAGATGGAGCTGAACATAGGGGAGGGGTGGGGCATGTATAGACATAGATCGCCTTAATTTTCACAAATACACATATGTGATTCATAAATGCGCACAAGCACAACACAATCCACAAACACAAAGAACAAGATCCACAGATGCACAGAACAAGATTCACCAAAGCATTTCTGGTCCATAAACACTAACATATAAATAAAATCACAACGTATTAATGGTCTTTAAACTTCCCTGCATTTGTGTGTGGATGTTTCAGACTGCCCTGAGGTGCCTCGATACAGAAATGCATTTTTTTAAAACATGGGATGGTCTGCAACCATTCAGAAAATCATGTGTTGTGTATGTGTGGATCTTGTCCTGTGCATTTATGAATCACATATGTGTATTTATGAAAAATTGAGACCAATCTACCTCCATATGCATGAAGCCACCCCGACTCCTGCAGGAAACATTGTCCCACACTTTAAGAACATCCTGATGTCTGGTTATGGGGAATGGAGGATGCTCCCCTAAGGCAGTGGCTTAAACTTCTCTGGAGACCAACTCCCTAACAGTCTGGCCAGGAACAACACCAGCAATACAGGAGGCAGGGATTAAAGTATAACTGCGACACACATGCAGACTACCTGGTTTCTGAGCATAAACCAGCCTTTAGACCCTGGTCATCCAGCTACACTACAGCACACTACCCGTTTGCCGGGAGCTACGGCAACAGCTGATGTACCAGGGTCAATAACTGACCGTGCATGCGAGTTAAAATAAGGGTGTGTGCTTTCCTCGCCGAACAAAACGTTTAGCAGCAAAACTGGTTATCAAAAGAAATGTGGTTCATGCAAGTAAACTGGACGGGGCCGCCTTTTACAGCCGCTTTTTGTGTCTCTGCTTCTGTCTCCTTGAACCCCAGTGGGCCTCAGCAGATGGCCGCTCACACTGAGCNGAATTGGAGCTATAGAAATAAACTGAATAGAATTGAATTGAATGCAAATGGTAGATATAGATGCATAGATGCACTGTTTTTGGTATTGGATTTTCAAAAGTCAAATTTAGTCTTCAATCATTCATGCACTCTCTGATCCCATTCCCCCACACCCCTCTGGCATGGCTTGAAATACACACACGCGTATATATATATATTTATATATATCTATATTTTTTTGCTTTAATCATCTGCCCATCAAGGTGGAAGACACAAGAACACACAGCATGTCTAAAAAGTAGAAATGGAGCAGGAGGCCATCTTGCATTGTGACAGATAATCCAGTCCTCTGTAAACAGCTGCCTTGTCTTGTTATTTATACATCATTATCCCGTATAGAGAACCCACGCTGCTTAGGTCGCCATGACAGTCACCTGCAGCACACAGTTGACAGACTTAGCGATGAGCTCAGTCCCGCTGTAGAAAGCTGCTCTGATGCACATTTCTCACCCGGCGGTAAATGTGCGCTGTAAGCGCGTGTCTGAAAGCTGACGTCAGAGGAACTGAACTGGAACATCTTAGCACGACTTCATTAGAGGATTAGTAGCCTGACTGCTTGCTGAATGTGAAGTGAGGTGTTCACAATCAGTCGGCTGTTTATGCAAACGTGACTCAATCTACATTGTTAAATCCTTTCAGCTTCCATTGTGCTTCATTTTAAGACTACTTGTGTGCAGATTTTTAACACTTGGACTCCCAGAATACTGATACTACTAGAACTCCCACCGGCCGTCATTTTCCCAATGAAACGCATGAGTAGTGCTGATGTCATCACCTGAGATGGTTCTAGTTGCGGTAGAAACCCATTGTGGAAATGTAAACCTTAAAACAAATCTAATATATATTTGTCAAAGGCTGTATTGTTTGCTATTATTATTTGTGTTCTAAATATGTGTTAAAAATAAATCCGTAGAGTAAAACTGTTTTACTACACAGGGTAAAAGTTTGAAATTACAATTTTATTTACATAAATTGATGGTTTCCCCACAGACCACCTTTTCACATTTATGACAAACACAATATGAGCCTTTATTTGTGCAGCGCTGCAGCTCCTGCCGCTGCTTTCTGTGCCTCTCCAACGCTGCTTTACTGCGGCGGAGGGGCTGGAAACCTGCAAACGTTTAAGCAGTTCAAGGATAAAATCTCTGCGTGAAAAAAAAATACATTCAAACAGCTCCTGAACAAAACCAACGCGTTTATAGCTGATATTTCCAGGAGATCATAAATTACAGCCACAGGCCGCCTTCAGGTCTGAGCTTTTACAGAATCCTTTCTAATCGTCGCAGACATCTCAAGCATCCTGGAAGTTCTGGGAGTCTCCCTGATATCGATAGTTTTTCACAGATGCCCGCGAGTCGATAAATTATCCCGGATTTTAGACTATGGGAGGTGGAGTTTTTAATGCGAGTGAGAGCGAGCGGCAGTACAATAATTCATGCATCATGTGCAGATTAGAACTACTGAGATTGCTCAGACAGCAATAGAGAGCAGGGTGTGGGGGGGAGGTTGCTGGTGAATCCTGTGCAGCATCTGTCTAAAGTGATGCTCTGATCAACCAGCGTTCCAGGAGACTGGTTGATCAGAGAGCTGATTGGATCAGTCCGATTAGTTTCTCTGGTTCCTCTCTGACAGTCACCTAGTTACCACTCAAAGCAGTGCATCCTGGGAAACGGCAGAGGGTCAATCCTCCAGTAAAAGAACAAAATATTAGACTAATTTTACAGCAGAATATACTAAAGTATATCCATGTCTAGTGAAGGGGAGGAACAGTGGCGGATCTAGACCAAATATACCAGGGGGCCAGGAGGGGGCCAGCGTGTTTTCATGGGGGCCCAGAAAAGCATGAAATAAAAAACAGGACAAGGGACTCAAATATATTAAGAGAGCTGCATGAATGGACATTTCTTTTTAATTAGGTTCAATAAAAATTCCATTTCTTATGAGGTCAATATACATTTATAATTTAGGAATTTTAGATATTTTTGACTTAATATATAATAGTTAGTGGTGGTGGTGATAAGCATCTCCCTGAAATGAGTTTGTGGAACTTGTCCGTCATCTGATCCAACACATCCACCCTGACCTGTGTGAGGTTATAGTAGACTACAGGCTCTGGTTTGGCTTTTGGGTGGATGTGGACCGGCTGAGGTGTGGGCAGTGCTTGAACAAAATGTTCACTATTGTCTGATACGTCTGCGTTTTCCCGGGGATGGGTGATCATCCTCGGACTTGTTGTCAGAATCTGAGCCTCTTCCCACCCAGTCCTCCTTATCGGTCTCTCCTTCTGCACCCGAATCGCTATCATCAATATTTTGAAGCATTTCTAAAGCCTGTTTCACTGTTAGGTTTCTTCTAAAAGCCATTTTTCCATATTAGCCAAAGAGCTCTAGGTAGAATGTTGGTTGCTAGGCAACGGTACCGAACGTCAATCATCCGCAGGAAGAATTTACAATCCAACTAATAGAGCCATCAAAATGGCTCGATTAGACGACGAGGTAGAATTAACCATTTTTAATTTTTACGTTTTAATTTTAGTTAGAAACTACGTGAAAAAGAAGGAAATATAGAAACAGATATAGTCAGTTAACATGAGCAACATAAGATTAATTTTAAATATATGTTTTTCCCTTTAAAATCTCACAACCATCAAAATGACGGCTGGTGGGATTTCTAGTGTTAAAAGATCCAAAGAGAAGGACATTGTAGATAATTATTATATTTCTGTAATCCTTAAAGGCCCACTCAGCAGGAGCACAACCTTTTCTTTTTTTTTAAGTAAAGGCTCTCTCACACAGATGTTGAATTTATGTTTTTGGTCACATCCAGATGTCTAATGTCATCCAAAGCATTTGTCCTTCATTCAAAGATAATCTGAATGAAATGAAGGCTTGCAGCCTTTAGGTCTGTCACTGTTCTATCGTTGCTCCATTTAAAGGTGCAGGCAGGACTCTGCAGTTTTCCATCCTATGATCCAAGTTTTTTGTGTCATTGATTTTGTTTGTTTTTGAATTTTGTCTAGAAATTAAATGTTGAGCTTTTGTAGAAAGCTTCTTTTTATCATACATGCATTAAGCAGCTTTTAACCTACCAGAGTGGCAGTTATCAGGCCTGGGTGTGGTGCTCTGCTGTGTGAACAATAACAGCTAATGCATGCGTAAACAATGGGATTTTCCCCCTTTAATTGGTGCTATCATGATTAGGGATGCAGGATATTGGGATTTTGGCCGATATCCGATATGCCGATATTTTAAAACTCATGTAGCCGATAACCGATATCGATACCGATGTTAAAGCTGGACAAAAATAAGTAGTCATTGAAAATAGCAGTTTTGTTATCCATTTCTGACACTTTGAAAAATAATAAACTCAAATATATTTTCATATGCTGATATCAAATAGATTTTTAAAAACGCGGTATCGATCTATTTTACTTTCAAAATCTGGTGAAATTTCATCGTTCTGTTACAAACTCTCGTGATATTTTGCAAATTCTTGTGAGATTTTGTTAGTAAAATAGATCGATACCGCGTCAATATATCAACATATAAAAATATGGCAACATTTGGTGAATTTTCGGGGGATTTCGTAGCATAACGATGACATATAGCAATATTTCATTAGTAAAAGAGATTGATATGGTGTTTTTAAATGGCAATATATCAGCATATGAAGATATTGGGATATTTTAATGGATCAATATTTTTTCCCTCGTCTTTAGAAGTTTTTAAGTCTGTAAAAAAGAACTTTTTGAGGAAGAAGAAGAAGTAGTATATATATATTATTTTTTTAGACTTTAGAAACTCAGAAGCTGATCAAATATCGGGTTAAATATCGGTGGGGTGGCCGATGTCCGATATTCAGTTTTAAGGCCGATACCGATAGGGGGCCGATTATATCGCGCATCCCTAATCATGATTTAAATCAATGTTCTGTATTTAGCTAAAGCCGGGCATACACTGTGTGATTTTCGGGGTGATTTTCCAGTCGTGCGAGAATATTTTCGATTGGGCAGACCTTCAGCCTGATGGTGCGTTGTGCGTGGCGTAGTTCACAGGGACGGGACAAAGACATGGCTGAGCAAACGTGGCTACTACGGTCTGCCGATTTTACAGAAAGAACTCCATTTCACTCATTGCACATCGTGCCATGCTTCTGGATTTTCCTCTAAGAAGAAGAAAAAGAAAAATCCTTGGTTGTGCACTGAGCGATTTGCCCACGATGGTCAGGAGAAAATCAAACATGTTTGATCTACTCCCGACCTCATTATTCCTAAACGGGAGGTGGTCGTGAGAGGCTGATCGCCCCTTGTAACCCCCTGTACATTACACCACACTAGATCAGGCTGAAAGTCAGCCCGAACGATAAAATTCTCGCACGACTGGAAAATCACCCAGAAAATTGCACAGTTTACGCCTGGCTTTAGATAGAATACTTTGAATCATTCTGACTGGGTGATTTGGTTATATTGTCTCTATAAAGATTACTGAGATGGCATTGATTAATTAATAAATTTACTTTATTGATCTCACCGAGAGAAATCTACTCATCACATTGGCTCAATGGTAAAAAAGAGGAAGGTGTTGTGAATTGACGATTTAGAAATAAACTGAATTGAATTGCATACTACATAATACTATGACATAATACACTCACAAAAATGCTCTTTATATGGCTTCTCTGTGCTGTTTTTGTGCAGGGGGTCATTCTCCGAGGTTTACATGGTGAGAGAAAAGAAGAGCGGTCAGCTTTATGCCCTGAAATGCCTGAAGAAGAAGCACCTCGCCAACAGCAATCTGGAAAATGAAATCAACGTACTGAGGAGGTGCAATCCATCACATTTTTACATCAGATTTTAGATTCTACTGTTCTGCTAAAATAAATGATGTGTATATATATATATATATATATATATATATATATATATATATATATATAATGGGAAAATAAAGGATGAATCTCTCTGACTTTTTCAGGATAAAGCATGAGAATGTTGTACGGTTGGAGGACTTCTATGAAAGCCGGACACATTACTACCTGGTCATGCAGCTGTAAGTCGACTGATGCACCCATCGCACTATAGCTATGCTGTTACACTGCAAAAACTAGAAAATAAATAAGTCTTTTTTTCTTAACATAAGTGCATTTGTTCTTGAATTGAGGAGGTTAGAGAGACACTTTACCAATGGAACAAGACAATTTACTTTTAAAATAAGAAAAGACAATTGCATTGTCTTATTTCAAGTGCATTTTATCTGATTATCTTATTTTAAGAGTAAAAATACTCATTCCACTGGCAAATCATCTAATTTACCTACTCAATGTAATAGTAAATACACTTAATCTAAGAAATGTTGTTTTTGCAGTGAACACAGCTTAGAGCTAAGCTTGTCTTATGACTTTAAAGCTACCTAATAGCTGATGCTGTCTATAGCAGGTTTGAAGGAAAGGACTGATAATAATACATTTTGTATGAGTAAAGAAGTAGATTACCGTAAATCCTCTAATATTGGCCTGTATTCCATTAGCAGCCGGGTCACTAATAACGCCCAATCTGGGTGTCGGCGGAGATAAATAATGGCCACACTCGTATACAACCAACGATGTTCCTGGGCAGTCCTGAAAGACTTTTGATAGTAACATACAAGTACCACAGGGGGGCAGTGTTTGCTAACGAATCCAAGCTGTTAGCATGGGATGTCCCATCGTTAGCGCAGACAGTGCTGCAGACAGGAGGCCGGCTCGTTTGGTTTTTATGACCGAAATTGCGGAAAACAACTCGTGAAGTTTGATGAGCTAGCTCTTTTTGGCCCTCCTGTCCCTCCGTTGTCGGACTACTCGCCCCCACTTCCTCATCCCCCCGGCCGTATCTAGACCCACAACGTGTAGCGCAGACCACGCTTCAATGTCAAGCGTAAATCTAAAATGTCTGCGTCAAGCTCCCTGCGACACTCTGCTGCAGGAGGATAACCAGCCACACAATCGTCCTGATCAGAAAGACTAATGTGATTAGTGGTAGGTCTTCTGGTAACCAGGCAGCATTAAAATGACTGAATTTCGTTGGCCTTCGTTGTTCTGAATTTTCTCTTGAAATATATGATACTGGTAGCCTACTTCCACTTAGCCTGCCTCAAATCGCTGTGATGGCAGAACAGTTTCCGTTAATTTTTTTCAAAACTTTGGTTCGCAAGTTAGTTTGGCCAAGATTCCATTCTGTGTCTTTTTTTTCGTATTGCCGTGCAGAAAAATTTTATAGGTTCAAAGAGACACAAAATCTGTTTTTATTCATTCCACTGGTCGTCTGTTTTGATCAAATAGAAATACAGGCCTGCCTCTAATTCTGGCCTCCTTCCAATAATGGCCTGGACCAAGATGCACCTGAGTGAAACAAAGGCTCTGACCTATATTAGAGGATTTACGGTATTAGAAATATCATGGAAATGGCTTAAAGGAAGTAAAGGAGGACGGCATCAAACATGTTTACAGAAAATTGGTCAACAGATATCAGAATAATAAATGCTAAAAAAAGCTAAAAAAGAAAAATATATATTATTAAATCAAAGAAAACATCTTAACAATGGAAAACAAATGAAGGAAGACAACTTAAGCAGAAAGTAATAAAATGACAGAATCTATATGCAAAAGGTGAAAAGCTGATCTGTTTTTCTCCATCTGTGTTTGAATGAACAGAGTGTCTGGCGGTGAACTGTTTGATCGCATTTTAGACAAGGGGGTTTACACCGAAAAAGATGCAAGCAAAGTTATCAAACAGGTGCTGGAGGCTGTCGGCTATCTTCATGAAAACGGCATCGTGCACAGAGATTTAAAGGTAAACGCACACAAAAACAAGCTTTACAAAATAAAATGGAAATTCGCTTGTTTTTTGTTTTTTTCTTTACATCCTGAGGAGGTTAGCTACTTGGCTGGATGATTCGTTTTTTTAATGACAAATTGTTGAATCTGAATTTAAAAAACAAAGATTAAAGTCTTTTGTCTTTAAGTAACATTTCTTTTCATAATGACACGTATGACAGAGGATTGGACATAGACTTGTCATTTCTTAATCTATCTAGATCAATTCAGGGTTAATATTATTTTGATTAGTCTCCAAATTAGTATTTCTAAAGATTAGAACACACCGAATCAGATTTTGCAACCGAACCAAGAGAAATCGCGCTCATATAGTCAGTAGAAATTATCACACCCGACATGATTTCCTGCAGGGGGCAGCATAGCTCCGACTGACAAGCTGTTCCACATCAGGGGGAGGAGGCACTAAACCTGGACGTAGCTGAAGTGGGAAAAACTCTGAGGAGAGTCAACCCAAGGAAGGCCCCAGGGCCTGATGACATACCTGGGCAGGTGTATAAGGAGTGGTCAGATCAGCTGGCTGGTGTCCTCACAGACATCTTTAACACCTGGATGGACCAATCCATAGTGCCAGCATGCTTCCAGTCTGCCTCCATTATTCCAGTCATAGAGCTGTTCTAAACAAAATTTCTTTTTGTTTAACACTTGTGTAAACAAAATGACAAATAAATCTAAATCTAAAAGTCTAAGAAATGTGTTTAGTTGCACTAAAGAGATCTTGTCTCTTCCTGCAGCCTGAGAACCTGCTGTACGATAACATGGATGAAAACTCTAAGATCATGGTCAGTGACTTTGGTCTGTCCAAGGCTCTTGAACATGGAGTGATGTCTACAGCTTGCGGTACACCAGGATATGTTGGTGAGTCTACTGAAAGTTTCCCTACTTAGTAAAGCTTGATAAATACTGCCTTTATTCAAGTTATTAGCCAATTTTCCGTCCGTCCGTCCGTCCTTGCCATGCTCCATTGGGACTGGGGCCTGTCTCCGGCAGTCTGTGGGTGAGAGGCGGGGTTCACCCTGCACACGTTGCCAGTCTGTAACTGGAAACATACAAAGAAACACATCCATGCAAACACTCATGCTTAAGGAAAAGTTAGAGAAACCAGTTAATATAACCATAATGTTTTTGGACTGTGGGAGGAAGCCGGAGTCCCCAGAGAGAACCTATGCATGCTCAGGGAGAACATGCACACTCCATGCAGAAAAACCCCAGGCCGGGGATCGAATCAGGAACCTTCTTGCTGTAATGCTACGTTCACACCGGACGCAGCAAAAGCAGCAAAATCGCGTCTGCTGCTTCATTTTTGCTGCTTGTACCAGTTAGTTCTGACGCGCGGCTGAAGCAGCTTTGCTGCTCTGGCTGCACGGTGCAAAAGTGGGTCTGACACGCGTTGGGCGGAGCTTCACTATCCTTTCTCTGCCTTGCAGCTATATTTGCTGTGATCAGTGGGAATAAAGTAGTTTTAATATGTTTTTAAGTGAGAAAATACACCTGAAAACGTAATCAGTGCCGTCAGTTCATCCAGATTATCATCCTGCCTTACAATGTTATTTCTGTCGGAGCCGCTCAGACCCCCACATACCAGCGGTGCGCCGACAGAAGGAATCCCTTCATCAGCAGCCTCTGGCCGGGTCGCCTCCTCGCGGTTCACCGCGGCGGCTGGTAGGTGTTTTTCATCTAAATAATCCAAACTGCAGGCAGCAGGATAATAAAAGCCAACATATTCTGCCGGCAGATTTCTGCATTTTAAGTTAATTATGCGTTAATAAACTGTTTAAGAGGAGTGATCACAGCGCTCTGTGTCATCAGCGCTGTCTCTCTCTCCCAGCCAACTCCCAGATCAGCTTCTCTGATTGGTTGACGCGGCGCGTCGAGCAGCAAAAATTAAATTTTTCCATCTCGAGCAGCAACACGTTTGCGGCGCGTCACGAGCGTCAGATGCTTAAACGCGCCTGACGCGCTGCTTCAGCTGCTCAGACGCGCTGCACATGCTGCTCAAAACGCGCCGCGGGACCTTTTGCTGCGCCTTGACGCGCGTCAACCATTGACTTTGCATGTAAACTCGCTGCTTCTGTCGCGCCAGCTGCGCCCGGTGTGAACGCAGCATAAGGCAGCAGTGCTACCCACTGCATCGCCATGCAGGCCTAGCCAATTTCGTTTTTTTTTTCCCATCCTTATTTTGTATATTTTAGTCTGTATAACCGTAAAAAACACAGAAATCTGGGCTAATATGCCTCAAGAGATTTGAACAAAAAATAATCCAAATGAGGAAATTCTTATTTTTGAGAAAGACAAATTTTATACATTTCTAAGATATGATATATACAGAGATTTTCCCCCCGAACACCAGACGTCATCCCTTTTAGGCTACATTCGTCCAGTCTCATCTGGATTTATTCCAGAAATAGTTGTTAAAAATGAGGCTATTTCATCGGTCTGATTTTGTCCCATTTCAGTCCAATAATAGATGTTAAAAACTGGGTTTCCGTCTTTTCAACGACTTGAAAATTGCAGCTTTTCATCTTTCACTTTTCAATCAAATGTAGATGTCATTTGGGCGTTAATCAAGTCGTCTAATTAACCAATTTTTGCTGCATTAGGTCAGCAGCTTTAGCAGTTAAGCTGTCAATATTCAGAGCTTGAAATCTGAACAGGGTTCCTAGTATATGTCTGACATTTTCCCATAATCTCTTTCCACCCTGGCAGTTTCCTTTAGTCTGACATGGCTCCCGCTGACCTCCACGATCCAATCGTTTTTCACTGGAAGGTGGTTGTTTTCCTGAACGTCGCTCATGTTATTCATGTTTTACCTTCCAGCTCCTGAGGTTTTGGCTCAGAAACCCTACAGCAAAGCAGTGGACTGCTGGTCCATTGGAGTCATCACATACATCCTGTAAGCGTGTTTCCCTTTAGTAACTTTACCACATATTTCACTAGGAAATGTTTTCAGTTCTTTTTTTTCAATGATAAGAAGTTTTTTTTTTTACATTTTAGAGAAAGCAAAAACACTGTATGATATTTCCAGTCTTTCAATTCTATTCAGTTTA